GGGTGCTGAGGCCTCTGACCTTTCTTCAGCTTGGGGAAAATTCAGAAGACCTGAATTCTATCACAGCTAGACTCGAAGAAAACTCCAAGCCAGCCCCCTACATCAGCACTATTTTAATTGGTCGAGACTTTGGTACCCTGCAGAACTTTCTGGTCCCCCAGTATCCCTCTTGCTATGACTGGCCATTTCTCTCCAATGGTTCTTCTATAGAGGAGTTGATTTCCCCACTACAGGCAGACAAATGCCATAGGTGTCTAACCCAATAATATCTCCTTCTGCCTGTGTCTGGAAGTAGCAGTTGTTCTTATGCATCCTGAATTTCCTTGGCTAAACCATGTCCAGAATTATCAAGATATACATTGGAAGCATAACATAATCTATACACTGATAAAAGTGACAAATTGATATAGCATAACATGGGCTTTCCAACAAGACTGAGCAATACCATATTGGTATAACAAAACACAAGAAAACATTAATGACACCCGACAGACCCCCAGAACATAATGGGGTTCATGCCATTTGCCATTTTGCCCAAATAGGTTCATTTGGGGGTCATCTACCTAAAATCGTAATGATTTTACCATATTGCCCTATAGAGATTCATAGCAGGGGAGAAGGCAAATTTACATATGCATGTTTTTTATCATTTCAGATTTTACTAAATGCTGCCAAGAGACTGGCTTTTTAATGGTGATAAAGTGTCAACAGGAAAATGCAGCACTGAAGGAGTGTCTTACTGCCTAGTAAGTCAACATAGCATAGTCTTTGCTTTTCCAAAACATATGCGTTACTCTCGTGATCTTAACTTAAAAAAAAAAAAGAAAATAATTCCTATAGGCAGCATTTCATATTCATTATTCAGAATCAAGATAAGTCTCAAAAAAGGTACTTCATTTTCCAAATTATTCTGGAGTTATTGAAGATGCTACTACAACTTTCAAGCAGGTTTGCAAATCATATGACTTAAGTCTTCCACAACTGAACCTAGTTTAGTGCATCTCTTAGGAGAAAGCATTATTTTTCTGGATCAGACACATAAAAAAGTACCAGTAGTCAACCTAGAGCATCTCTTTTTTTAAATAATTAAGTAGCTTCATTTACGACAGGGGTGTCAAACTCTCCCAGTCCTCTGGGTCAGATCCAACTGCAGGGCTTCCTGTGGGACAGGAACTCAGCAGCATGAGAGCTGACACAGTTATTGCTTACTCCACTGCCACCAACATGCATTCCCTGTAGGGCTCTATACTCAGGAGTCCCAGGGTGGTCCCCACTTCTTAATTCCTGGCCCTTCCGAACCACTGGGCTGGTTGAAACGGCTTTGCGGGCCAGATCTAGCCCATGAGCTATATCTTTGAGACCCTTGACTTAAAGGCCAGGTTTATTACTTAATATATTTTACATGGTTCATATTTATCAGGTAAGTGACATGGGCCTGGGTAGCGCTGGGATTAGGGGGGCGGTCCATTCATCTTCAGGAGGCCTCAAATGCCTCTACTAATGCTCGCAGCATGGGGAACAAGCAGGAGGAACTAGTCCTCCTGCTAGCCAGCACCAACCCAGACATAGTGGGGCTCACCGAAACGTGGTGGGATCCAACACATGATTGGGCAGTGAATATCAAGGGCTACAGGCTCTAAATGAAAGATAGGATAGGCAGGAAGGGCGGGGGTGTGGCGCTCTATGTCAAGGAGCAACACACATCCACAGTAACACTGGGTCAGAGGAGGAGCAAACGGAAGTGCTCTGGGTTAGAATACAAGGGGTCGGGGAGAAAGGGACTTAATGGCAGGGGTCTACTACAGACCACCCAACCAAGGAGAAGATCGAGACCAGAAATTCTTAAGTCAGCTCACGGAGATAGTTAGGTCCAAGGATGTGTTCATCGTGGGTGACCTAAACTTTCCAGACATCTGCTGGGAGGAGCAGACAGCCAGGTCTGACCACTCACGCAGGTTCTTAACTGACATACAGGACCTCCATCTAACCCAGGAGGTACACAGCCCCACCAGGGGAGATGCCTTGTTGGATTTGGTCCTGGCCATGGGTGACGACCTGGTACGGGGTCTGTGGGTGCTTGACCACCTGGGCGATAGCGATCATCGTCTGCTGGAATTCACCATCCAGCGCAAGGTGGCGAAAGCCTCCAGCAAGGCAGCAGCCCTCGACTTCAGGAGGGCGGACTTTAACGAGGAGAGAAAACTAGTGGGGGAAGCACTGAGGTCCCAGAGCAGGAGGGAGTTGAGTGTCCAGGAGGCGTGGTCGTTCCTTAAGGAGACAATCCTCCAAACTCAGGGAAGTAATCCCTATACGAGTCAAAGGGGGCAAGAGGGCACAAAGGCCCCCATGGCTCACCAAAAGCATCCAGGAACATCTCCAAATAAAAAAGGAGTCGTACACCCGTTAGAAGGGAGGGGCCATCACAAGAGAGGGCTGTACCTCGGTAGCTTGGGAATGTAGGGGGGCGGTCAGGAAGGCCAAGGCGGAAATGGAGCTGGAACTAGCGACCCAGATCAAGGACAAGAAGTCCTTTTTCAAATACACAGGGGGGCAAAAGAAGGTGCCAGGTAACGTGGGGCCTCTGCAGGACACGCTAGGAAATCTGGTCTTCTCACCTGACGGTAAAGCTGACATATTCAACAATTTCTTTGCCTCCATATTTCTGAGGAGGGACCCGGATATCTCCCCCACTGGCACCCCCGAGGGCTGTGTGGGTGGCACACCCAGGCCTAGGGTTAATGAGGACCTTGTCAGGGAGCTTCTGGAGGGACTAGATGTATTTAAATCCGCAGGTCCTGATGATCTCCACCTCAGAGTGCTGAAGGAACTAGCAGGGGTCATTGTGGGACCTCTGGCACAGCTCTACAAGCACTCATGGCACTTAGGCAATGTGCTGGTGGACTGTAAAAGGGCCAATGTGGTCCCCATCTTCAAAAAAGGGAGGAAGGAGGACCCAGGA